CTTTTACAAACATAGTAGGAAGTTTACAACACACAAGTGAGCCCAAAAGAAAGGATAAGAGCCTTAGGCTCACACCATTTATTCAGCCCACAAACCAAGGAAAACAAAGCACACGTGAAAATTTCTTAATACAAGAGGAAACAGTGTCCTGCCTAGTACCCACAGAACACTCTCATCTTTAGTAAAACTCACTAAAACAAAAAAGCAAAGTAAAAACACAGTAAAGAACTTATGCTCAACCCTATGTAGCATAGGTAACTAAAAAAACCAGTTAGAATGCAGAATTACAAAATTAGAACAGTATCTAAAGGCATTAAAATAATTAGTCACCAAGCTTCCATCATCATGCACTCAGACAGTGCAAGATGATGGAAACTTGATGATAAATTATTTTAATCATCAGTGCACTCAGACTAAAGCAGCAACCCTCATCACTCAGGCAACCAGTATCTGTATTTTTCAATACATCTGTTGCAAAGACTGTTTAGACAGTACAGACAGTTTACTGCTGCCCTACCACAGTCATGCTCTGCAGCTGGAAAACATGAGAAATAACCTTCATAAACCAGTAACTCTTCTTTCTCAATCCCATGGCTCATGTGAGTGTTTGAGGCGGACTGAGCTGACAGGCTTTCCCACAGCCCACCCAGGATTCATACTATGCCCAGGCACTACAAGGCACAGAAACAGCTAAACCAACTGTACTGAGGTTTTACATGCAGCTTTGCAACAAGCATAAGCAAAAGTGCATTAACTGAAGCTTTCTTTAGCAGCTTGCAAATTACTTTAGACAAATATATCATGAAGAAGTTCTTACCTGCAGCAGGGCTCTTCTCCTGGCACTGCAGCAGCAGGCAGCCTTCAAGGTGGCGTGGGAGAGCTGCCCACCCCTGGCACAATGCTCACCTGCCTGTCACTAGCTGCCAGCTGGTGAAGCAACAGGATAAAAGAAATGACAGGCAAAGGGAGCAGTGTTTTTTCCTCCCCAGTCTGCAGTGGGTAGAGAGCATGCCATTTGCATTTTGTCCATGGAAATAAAAGGCAAGGCGAGGGCAGTGGTTCCTCCCTCTTGGTTGGGCTGCAAGCAGCTACGAGGCTCTCTGTGTCACTTTGATCTGCTCCAGCAGGAGACCAGCTTCAGATGCCTCTTTGCCCTCCACGATTTGTGCTCAATTCCCAGGCTCTCGGTGCAGGGCTAGCAGTGAGAGCTGTTTTCCTCCTTGGCAGCTCTGACTACAAAGGTGCAGCACGGTGCTAGCTGGGGAAATGGGCAGCCTCCCACTCCCTTCACTCCTTGTCCTGCCTCTGCCATGTTAAGTGCATGGCACCAGTGCAAGCATCAGGCTGGGATGTAGCCAGGATGTTGGTACACTGCAGAAAAGTTCTATGCCCTGAAATACACATTTTAAACAAGGAAATCACTTTCTCCTGCCTTGGTTACTCAAACTTTACCAGGCCTCTGCAGCAGGACTACAGTTCAACAACATTTTCATTTATTCCACGTAAAATATTTGAGTGGAAAAGCAGGTCAGAATAGCACTGGTGTTTGAAAAATATTTTAAATACAAGTTTTCTGTCAGAAAAGTAAATCCAGCTAAAGATGTAAGAGGGCAAGATGAGAAATACAGTACGTTTAAAATACATCACCACAAGAGACCTGAGGAAGTGGAAATCAACAGCCGTATTGGCGATATGAAGACAGTCAATAATTCAAGCACTCTGGGCAATATTTTAGCCTTAACTAGAGATGAAAGTTATCATTCCTCTTTCTACTTGATCACTGGAGCAGGGTTCTAGTTAAAATCTCATCTGCTATGTTTTCTTTTTGGTAAAACGCAGTGTAGGCCTCAAGTGATTCCTGCCCAGCTGAGCAGTTCGGAAAACAAACAGCAGATTGATCAAAGGATGTGTTGAGAGCAATTTTCTGCCCTCAGCAGCCCTCCTGTGGGCCCTGATGCTGGTCAAACAGGGTTTGTTCCCATCCTCAGGTGTGACTCAGAGGTTTGAAGACAGTCGGTGGCCATAGTTTGTGTTCTCCACCCTGGCTCTGTTTTGCACAGCCCCACACTCCACACACGGCCGCCGGCCCTGAGGGGAGCAGAGGCACCTCAGGAGCTCCCCGGTGACTCCAGAAGGAGCAGCGGAAGCAGCCAAGTGGGAATTTGATGTCTCCACAAGCAGGGGGCTGAGGCAGGCTGTGCTGGGGCCCTCAGGCTCCTGGGCAGGGGAGATGCTCCCATGCTGGGCAGTGCTGTGTGCCCACCTCCCTCACACCCTGCCTCAACCACTGGGACACTGCTTCCCTAAGGGAAGCACTGCCAGCCCTTCCAAAGTGCAGTAGGACTTAGGAACTTAGGTAACTTCAGGTTACCTTTGCTTTCTCTTTACTCACCTCTACAGTGCTTCATATTTTCTTCTTCCACGCTTGCCAGAACTGTAAATGTTTAAGGATCACTGGCCTTCTTAACCAATTTTAAAAGAATATACCTCACCCAAACACCTAATTGAAGGAAAACCAAGCACTTTTATTTGCCTAATAGTGATTAAGACCACTTGGGAGAATCTGAAAATAGCAGGATAATCAAAAATGTACATACACTGCTCAGAAATTTTTTCAGAAAAATAAATTACAATTCACTTAGATGACAACATTCTGCAAGGCTTCGGTTTGCTTGTTTGGCTTGGTTGGTTTGTGTGGGTTTTTTTTCCTGTATTTAAATCACTGAAGTTTCAAAGGTGATTTTTTTTTTTGTACACAGGTATGCTGAATTTAGTTTTACACTAATTTCATATCAAAACACTAACTTTAATCTAACTCACTTGAAAAGTAAGCATCCACAGAAGTGCTCCACTTGTGTCCAAATGCAGATATAAACTGGTTTTGCATTTTTTAGCTCCTTTAAATTTCCTGTTCATATGTGAAAGCAGAGGCCCAAGTTGACTCCTAAAATGGGAACATATTATTCCTTTTCCCTTTTACACACTTCATTTCTTCGCAGTGCAGGTATGTACATCTTTCACTCTGTTTTTTTGGGATACTTTGTTTTAGCAGCTTCCTGAGGACACAGAGGGGTTAGTGCTTACCAAAGCACCACTCAGAGCTGGAGGCTACTGCAGGGCCAGCAGGGCCTGATCGATCCCTGTGTGCCGGAGCAGCATCTCAACCTCCCACTCCCCGCAACTGGAAAGAGAAATTCTACACCATGACAGCTAACTCTTTAGCAAAGTTCACCTCAAACCCTCAACCTCAAGTGTTAAAAAAGAAAAGCCCTTAAATGATACAAGTTATTACATTTAATCCCTTTGGGGGAAGTGGGGAATGATTTTGTGATTAAGGACCTACTGTGGGGCTCAAGAGAATTAGTTCAATTCCAGACTCTGAAACAAGCTTCCAGGTTCCCCTGGGAAAGCCTATGCAATCTCCTATCTCACATGGACACCAGCAGGGCAATTTGTAAGTGTGTGCAGCCCTCAAACATTGTAGTACCAACAGCTAAATAAATTCATAGTTAGGAGTTAGGTGAGGTTCAATAATTTTGAGGGCTAGTTACCTATTCAACAATGACACTACCATTACACTATCACTTACCACAAATCATTCTTAAAAATTGGTATTACATTCCTGAAGAATAGTAAGCTACATTATTACTTACTCCTGCACTGACAGGTAATTCCTAAGGGTTTAGTTAATGTATTAATGAAAATGATGAATGAATGAAAAAACCTGCAAGATAAAAATAAATTGGCAGCTCTTACAGAAAGACACCACTTAGTTCTCAAGCACAGGACTATTTTCTATGGTTTCCATTGCAGAGAAATTTTGTTCCATTAAGATTTATAGCTAGTATTGTTTCTTGGCAAAAAAAAATCCAAAAAATCTAATTAATAGAATGAATAAATTTAATAATGAAAACTCATCTGACAATGAGTTGTGATAGAGAAAATCCAGCAAGCACTATCAGAAAAACATAATATTGAAGTCACTGTGTAACCTTCTGGACAGTGAAGCACTGCACTACACAATGCACTGTGATAACATTAGACAGTTTGTCTTGCAAAAAGGAACAAAACAATTTAATTACTCTGATATACTGATAACACATACTAGTCATGTTCTCTGCTATTCACTACCAGTGGAAATTTTCTCATAATATTATGAAAAAACAGCTGTCACACCCCAGAAATATAAAGCAAAAGCTACTTCATATTTTTAAAGACATGGCAATAATTTTAAAATTTCACTCATTTCTGCAAAGGTGCTGTGCCTATTATGGTTGGAGGTAATGATGTACTTAATGCATTACAAAAGTTACTTTCAGTAATAGACATATACTTCACATACTTTTAAACTATTTGCTGTAGAAAAACAATAGCCTCTCTCAGAAGTTGGAAAAATCCACATACAATTTCAAGATCAGCATTGCTGGCATGTTTGTTCAATCCATAATCTTGAATCTATTTTAATCTTAATATTAAATATTTTGACAGAGCATGTGCCATTAATTTTGTATGTATTAAGTTCAAGTGTACTTGTTATTTTCATAGAATGGATGTTAAAAATGTTTAAATCTGATATTTGATTGGAATGTATGTAACTACAAATTAAGGCAGTTCTTCACATTATTTTACTTCACTGCTTTTCTAATTATAATTATTTCAGTTTTTTCTTTAATTTTTCCACTGTTATAACTTCAACTTATAATAGAAGTTAAAGCAGTTGAAAATTAAAAATATCCAATAGCAAGAAAATTCAGCATTCAAAAGACTGATATAAAACAGTTTCAAACTGTCAGTAAACAGACCAGCAATTCACACCAATAATTCTTGGTCAGTGTCTTCACTTCATCTCTCTAAGGTAAAATGCAGAAACAACTGAGGGGTTTTCCATGAATTAAGAGAAATTCCATCCATCTTACACAACATGCAGAGAAAGCCAGGTCTGATAAGACCTGCCCATTCTAACCTGAATAGTCTGATGAAGTTCAAACACAAGCTGAAACTGGTGGCAACTGTGTAAAACACACAACTTTATTCTGTGACTGTTTACAACTTGAATTTAAAATCACAAAGGTGCAGCAGTGACATTCATGAGCATTTGTTTTAAAGGAAAAGCCTTCTTAAAATTTTAATTTCTCGCAGGTGACAGAGGGTGTGATGGTGGTTACAAGACTTCCACTATTCTCAGTGCTGCCAGCAGTGTCTTCTTAGCTAAAGCTCCCCATTGGTGCTGCACTGGTTTAACACGAATGGCTGTGACAAAATATAACAAATACTGTAAGGCAGCTGTAGTTTCTGCATTTGGTCATCCTCCCCACATCTGCTTACATCTAAAAATCAATCCCCTCTTTCATTAGGGAAAGGTTAATTGCCACCTTAATGTTTCATTTTACTGTATTATCAAACCTAATGATTTGATATACACCTTTGTGTGTTCCATGTCTTTGTGGTGTCCCGCCCCGAAAGGGAAACAATCAGGCAGTTGCCCATGGCTGGATTGGAATGAGGAGTCAGAGAGACCACAAAAACTTGCAAAATTTTATTACTTGGCATGAAAACCAAGTTATTTATTCCCTTCTAGTATAAACACATGGTGATGGAGTTTTGAGTATGGGGTAAAGAGGGAGGAAGGGGAAGGGGAAGGGGAAGGGGAAGGGGAAGGGGAAGGGGAAGGGGAAGGGAGGAATTATTTTCAATATAGAAACAGTACTTTTCAGGCTAACATGGGCTTGAAGAAAAATGGCTGGTGTTTTCATTATTTAAATGAAAAGTTCTTTAAATAATTATTTAAATTATTTAAGTTCTCCAGCTAGAACAAATGTCAGTTGTCAGCATCAGGTTCTAAGCAGAAATGATTTACAGTTATTAAACTGAACAGTTACAGGGCTTTGTCACTCTCACCTGATGGCAAAAGGGCAGGTGTCCTCCAAGCTGTGGCCATTTTGCAGGTTGATGTCAAGAACATCACAGAAGTCCAAACCTTTTAACAGGTGCTAAAAGAAGAGGTCAAGGAATATCCTTTGCATCTGAGAGCCCTGTTTGGAAATAGTTTTTGTGTTTTATTGTCAACTGCTTTAAAACAAACAGTAAAATCCACCTTTGTTTGTACAGGACACTCCTTTACTTGTGAAGGTCTAAAACCACCAGGCTTAAGAAATGCCTAAAAGCAGGCAACTGAAAGCAGATATAGCAATGAGCACTGCAGCCAAAGCTGTGACACCACAGCCCAACAGCTACAAATGCCTTGGCCTCTCTCATTCAGTGCCCTACTTTAAAAGATGTGCAGGCACTGAGCTACCAGTCCCATAGGTATTAACAACAGAGCACACTGACCTGCAGTGTTACTAATCATAGCATGAGCACACTACAAAGTTAAACTCTCTAATATTAATGTTAACCTGCACACAAGTTAAAACAAACTGACAAATGAAGTGCAATTGGTATGCAAATTTAAAGCCAGATTTTATTTCATGACAAACAGATGTCATCTGAGGCTGGTTCTAAGCAAGGATTTAATCCATGACCATAATGTAGGTCACTAATTTTGATAGAGTTTGTGCCTAGTATTCATGCAAGGAATCAGACTCAGCACATCAATAGCTGTCAAGAGTTTACATGTAGTTTCTTTTTATACCAGCCTTTAATAAAAGAAAATAACCCAATTAAGCAGATGTCAAAATATTTTTCTGCTGACTTCCCCATAATTTTCAATCATTAAAGGAGTATTTAATTTACAACAAAACATTATACTGTAATCCTATGCATCCAAGAATATTCATGTTTAAAACCTGAACCGCCCTCACCGTTTCTGCTGCCCTTCTGGTTTCCCCATGAGCTTCAGTAACTCAAAAGAATTGCAACCAACTTGGTAACTAAAAAAGAAAGCTTTGTGGAATGGGAAAAGTTCACAACAGGGAAGGAAAAAAAGCATTCTAAAATAGCCAGGTGTTCACCTCAACCCATACCAACTTCAAACAGATGCAAGGACAGTAGGTGAATCTGATTTCAGACTAAGGACATGAAAGATGAGTTTTATGTTCTTATGCTTTTATAACATTAGAACGAATTCATTTTTAGATAAAGAATAGTATACTCCCCTACTCTCCAATTCTTTCACATAAAATTTGCTCTGAAAATAGCATGGCTGAGTTCCACTCTTTCAACTGTTATTTGATCACTGCCAAATATTTGCAAGTACAGATTGTTCCACATCTCACCCATGTACTTGATTGTAGTTCATGTAGTATCTACTATGTTTTGTTCTACTTCTATGAATAAATGTACTATGGTAAGGGATCAAGTCAGTCATAGAAACAGAACAAATTACTTTAAAATATGAAACTGAAAGAGTGCTGGAAGAAGAGCCCCTGGCAGCCTTTCACCCAAGTCAAGGTTTAACCTTAGGAAAGGATGACTAGCCTAAGACATCAATACTGCTTGGCAGCAGAGGAGGTGAAGGTGTGTTCAAGGTGTGGATGGCAGTGCCTGTCCATGGCCTTACATCCTCAGGAGATTGTGTCTTCAACTTCAGGTGAAGGATGAGTTTTTTGCTCCAGGAAAAATTGCATTTTTGTTACTGTGCTCCTGATACATGAAAATACATGAAATTTATAAACTTAAAATATGAAGTTCTGAAAAAAATAGAGCTAAACTTAAAAGCATTTTTACTTAGTTATATACAATCAACACAAGAAACTGAAATTATAATTAGGCAATTACTATATAACTTCCTATATTTAATTATTATACGTGAGTTTGTTAAGTGCATTTTATGCCATGTAAGCAGCATTCCAGGACAGACATTTAATCACTACATGTATTATGCATTATTAGAAATTAATTCAGTGAACTATTTCAAAGCTGTTTCATTTTAACTAGGTCAAATGCTGTTACCCAGAAGTGCAATGAATCTGTGTTTAAAATTTAAATGCATTGAAAGAAATTTAAACTGAGGTTCTGAATGGAGAATATTTTAAGCAACATTCTCTCAAACAACCTAAACTTTCTCTAGATAGAATAATGAAGTCTGATTACAGGGCAAGAGGAAAATGCTATGTTGAGCTGTTCAAGAATACAAAACAGTCATTTAACTTCTTGGAGTGCAGGTGTGAGACCTTATTTATGTGAGGTATGTTATTTTCACCTCATGTTCAGGTTCCTGTAAGTGATTGCCTACAATTCTAGAATAATCTCCTGAAGAAAAGAGAAGTTGTTTATATCAAACTAAAAGTTGGTGTCCCTGTTTCCCATTGCTGTGCTGTTGCCATCCTCTATGTACCAGAAGCCACAAGTACCAAGCCCAATGCTAAACTGTGAGGAACCCACAGAACAATGTGTTCTTTGATCAGAAACATATTTTACAAAAAGGGAGGTATCTGTGATCTCTATTTTAAGATATGCAGGAAAAGAAAGTATTTGTTATAGTAGGAAGCTGTAATGTACATCAGAGGAAGATTTTTAGTTAATGATTCCTGCTTGATCACATTTTAGTGCTAGAGTGAAAAAATATTAAAATGTATATTTATAATCTGATTTAATCTCATCATCCTAGCATACTAAGGAATAGTCAGCTGAAAAGAATACTGTCTGTTATGAACTATTACATTGACATTACTGTAATTTTGTTAGTAGCTTGTTTTTTTGCAAAAATACTGAAGATAGCACAAAAATTAAGACTAGCAATACATATGTTCTGAGGATTGATGCTGAATGTTAACCTTTAAGAATTTTACTGGTAACTTAATTTTAATAATTTAACTTGGAAGATTACATTTCTTAGCAATGTGGAGAGATGAAAATCACAAATTCCATTTGCTTCACTAGCAAAAATGTTTGTTTACACTGATCCTGAAATTATGAGTGGAACAGTAGATAGTCAAGCAAGAATAATTTTTTTATATTGGAATACCTACTTGCCTACTTTTCTAAGCAGTTCTAGAAGTGTTTCACAATCTGCAGAAAAAAAGCCACATATGTGCTTTAAAACACGTGAAAACAAATTAATTTCTAAGCTTTGCAATTTAATAGTTTAATAAAATTTGTAAGTCTATTTACAACCTGCTCCAATTATCCCACATGATCTTTGCATTTCAGACACATTAACCAAGCCAGTTGAAGCAGCTGTAGTTCTATCTGGATTCCTGTGCCTAAACATTTCAATAGATCACTAAACTGTGATAGTGGCATAGAATTTCTAACTCTCATTTGAAGATATTATGTACTGCTATACATGTGGAACACGTCATGAACCAAAAGAGAGAATCTCTGGTGTAGTTCCAGTCATATGACTATCAGAAGGAGATAAGTCAAATTTGGAAGTCAGTGAGGAGGAAGGGAATTAAATATTGCAAAAGATATTGCCTAGATGCATAAGAAATTTTAAAACTAACTAGAAGTTTTAAGGTGATCCAGAAACATTAAATAGGCATGATCTTCAAACATTATCTACATATTTGCAGGGTCACGTATCTGAACTGGGTTACACCTATCTATGTAATTACCATCTCTGTAACAGAATTAGCCAAACTCTTTAACAGAAACCTACTTTTCTTCATTGCTGGTGGCAGCAATGACAGTCAGAAGGTGTCTCATTTTTTCTGCATCTGTTGGTAAAACTGCATGTATAGCTTCTCTCTACAATCACCCCTGGTGTAGCCATCTGCAGTCAACTGGAAAATCAATTAAGGAGTAGCACAGACTGCAAAACTGTACTAGAACATCACCAAGTTTCACTACTTTACTGCTTAACATGCTACTAAAAATGCTAAAAACAGTTCCTTAAAGCAAGGAGTTTCCCCCCTCACTTTTCATTTCCCCTGAGTATATCTGTTAGACATTTAAAAAATGCTAAGAAACATGGCTGGTTAAACTGGGCTGCAAACTTCTCAGAATTATTCTACTGAGAGCAGCCCATTAATTTATTCCAACCCACAGAAGATTACTTTTGTAGCATTCTCTCCTGAACTGTCTTCCATTTTGATGCTGGAACTCAAATCTCACTCCAAGAGAAGGCAGAGCAACTAGGAAAAGCCACCAGACTACAGTCAGATACTAGAGACTAACCAGGAACATTTTTCACCTGTGCTATAAAACAGTTTTCATAAATACTTTTAAAGCTGTGTTGAAAACACCCACAATAGACATATACCAATGTAGGAGTCATCAGAAATGAGCTTGCTTGCCTATCTCCAACAGAAGCCACCTCCCAGTTTTTTTGGGATCTGCTAAATCTACACACAGCAGACCAAAGGCCAAAAGTACAAGCAGATTTATATTGTTCTATTCAGGCAAAATTTGCATAATGAATCTATATCACTACTTGGCTAAGCCACTATTATTATTAGATACTATTAAATATGATTATTTGCTTAAGTTTCTCTCACCTTAATTTAAAGGTATGGTGCATTTTGTAAAGATTCCTACTAGAACAGGTAAGAATATGAGTTTAGGTATATGTTACCAGAAGTGAATTTTAAAAGCTAGACTAATCCAAAGTGTTGAACAGATAATATAAGCATATTTAATAGATTTTCACACTGTATTTGCTTTGTAAAGAGTGCCATATCAATGAGAAGTCATGTACAATTTTTCCTTCACCACTTTTCATTAACAAACTCTAGGGAGATGTGGAAAGGTCAGATTTCCTTCTTTGGGTTTGTCTAAATTACTGAATGCCTTATAACACACTTAGAGCCGCTCAGTCAGCGCCTCCTGACAGTGCTTAAATAAAACCTAAAGTATACGGACATCACAACAGTCACAGCAAAAATTTGCAGCCACAGTGGGACATTTTAATCCAAACTTTCTGCTTACACAAGATGCTTCTAAGGCCTTTGCTACATCCATTTTTCCCTTATGTAAAGAGGTACTGAAAAGTGTACAGCAGCAAGTGCCTTCATTAAGCATCAGCAGCTAGAAGTGACTTCTGCATTAAGGGAATAGAAATTTAGCAGAAAAAACACCCCTTTGCATTCCAGCTGCTCCTCAGAGATCAGAGGGGCTGGGTGTGACAAGGCTTGACTTCTGATGAGAATCAGTTCAGCACTATAGGTCTGGTTGAATTCAATAAGAACTTCCATGATTACAGGTTCATAAATAGTACAGTTTATTTAAGCAACAGGAAAGCAGGTTCAGGATTGCCAGTTATAAGGGCATTAACAATGGATTTTGTTTTTTAAAGGTACTGATAACCTGAGTACAAATAATGAAATATAAAGAATCCATTTAAATTCTGTATTTATCTAGAAATAGTGTTTTTCCTCAGAAGATGATTAACTAAAAATCTCAAGAGAAATTATCTCCCACTTCTGTGGTATGGCAGCAATACTACAGAGAGAAAAGCATGAGAAGTTTACTTAACAGAGGGGTTGCCGTGTTATTTCAGGATATGCTCTTCTGGAAGCAGGTATAGGATGGAGCTATGTGAGAAAAAAGCTATAATCAGATTTGTGTGCTTGTGGTTATTTTGTTTGGTTTTTATTAGAAGCACTTAATAGGCTGGAAGGAATTCTTTGTTATACAAAAGTAGCAACAACTTTAACCCTACAGGACAAGCAGATAACTAAATGCAAACAACCCTCACAGCAGCTGCTGTGAATAGGATCTCAAGCTGAACACAAAAATGCCCAAAAAGATGGCTGGAAACAACAAGAAATTCAGCAAGAAATACAGCATATCCTGGCAGCCAGCAGTGTACATGGCTCATCATTTCAAAAGCCAACAAACCTCCTACTCCCATGTCTGGCACAAAGCAGGCTGTGAGCAGAGCAGTTCAAACAAGTGATTTGATGCCAGCTCTCAGAAGCTGCCACAGGAATCCAGCTGTTGCAGCACCACAACCTGTCCCACTGTGCTCTGCACCCATCACAGCTGCTGGGAACACCTCAGGGCTACCCCACTCAGAGGTGGCAGCTGCCAGCCAGGGAGGGACATGGGGACATACCCACGGGGAATGACCAGGCACACGGGAACAGTGGCCCTCTCAAGGTTTGCCTGCCCACAGCACAGATTCCACACCACTACCTCCAAAAGAAATGAAACAAATCCAGCTTCCAGTCTTGGCTTCTCCACACTGTCACTAACAAACAGTTTGATTTTCCTATGAGCCTATATTGTGTTATGATCTAATGTTTTCGGCATAAATCTAAGATTTCAAAGAAAAATGTCCTTGTTCTAAACAGTTAACTTTCAACCTGAAAGTCAGTAAAAGAAGACAGTGTTATCACTCTATTATCATACCAGGAATGACATTTGAAGGACTAAAGCAGCCTTGCAAACAAGGCAAAATCAGATGAATACATCTGTTCCCCGATAGCTTTTAGAAAACCAAATACAATGTGTAGGAGAATGTGGGGATTAAGAGGCTGAGACTCTACTGGGGAATTAAATGGAAAGGACTAGAAAATAGAAAAGCTGAATACATATGGTTCAAGACTGAGCACTTCAAAAAGTGACAAAAAGGTGAACAAGAATCTGATGAGGGAGTTTCTTGTGCTAAGTGTAAGTAAATTTGGCAGAAAACAAATTCCCTTGCATTCCAGCTGGTCCTTAGTTATCAGAGGGCTGGAGGTGGCTGGGCCTAATTTCTGAGTAAAAGCCAATTCGGGACACTAAGTAAATGCAGAGCCAGTTCAACACTACAAGTTCAGTCACCTTCCAAAAGAACTATCATGGTCTGATTCACAAATCGCAAATTATTGAAGCAGCAGAAATGCAGATTCTTATTGGATTGCTGGCAGTGATTTGATTTCTTGCCCAGAAACTGATGTGTCTCTCATGTGACAGGTGTGTAAAGAAGAACAATAAGCTAAATAAGAAATTAAGTTATTCTGAATAAAAGAAGCCAGTCTTCTGAAGTGTTAGATGGAATATGACAGTGAAGTTTTACCACACCTGCTGTAAGTACCTAAAATGATAAAAAAATCTCATTCCAGTTGCAGAAAAATAGCAGAGGAACACAAATTAGCTTTACAGTCTACCAAAATTCAAACCATTTATAGCATCTCAAGACATAACATGTTCAGTGTGGTAGAAAAAGTTTCATACTACACTTCTAAGAAGTGAAAATAAATCTATTGCATTAAGCTACACACAAAATCAATATTTCTACACTATATTTTTATTGTGTAGAGATGATCCTCTGAACTTCGTTCAGATGTATAAGAAAAGGCATTCTCTTTCCTACAGAATATGCATCTATTTGATGAAGCTCATCTTCTGGGATAAACTAAAATATTTTCTATAAGCCTGCTACCAAAAAAAAAAAAAAGGAATGGAATTTTCTGATCAGATTTTTTTTTTTTTGTTGTCTATACCAAGAAGTCCTGAGTATGGATCTTCTTACAGAAAAACCCCAGACAGTCTCTTGATAAGATTTAAGCTTTAATCTTCCAAAATCAACTCAAAAAAAGAATATAAAGAATGTAAACACTCTCATTGTATCACTAAATGCAAGTTAGGATTATATTTGTCAAACTTACTGCAGTAAACAGATTTATAAAAATACAAATGCAATTAGGATTAGTAAATGCAAAAAGACTGAATATGTAACAGTCTTAAACATTACCACAGAATCTCTGAAGTAACATATTGCCTCCAGAGGGAGGGATTGTTCAGAGGAAAATGAGTATGAGAAAGGATATGTAAGCTAAAAAATGCAGACGGCCGGAAAAGCAATCAAACTAAGAAACAAGTGACCCATCCTAATTATCTCTGATAGCAGATGCTGCCAACAGATGCTCTCACATTATGCTTCAAGTACAGCTGTGAGAATCAGAAATAGATACCAAAGATGCTAAACTCAGAAACATGCATTCCTTGCACCTTGAGAAGAGATACTTGAGACAGCACTCTAAACTGACAAAGCATGATTATTCCAACCACCTCTGCCTTGTGAAGCAATCCAAGGGTACACCCAGCCCTTTTGCTTAGGCTGTTAATTTTCAGGCTTCACATGTGTTGGCAGAAACAGATATCAAGGGTTACTAACAGATGCACTAACCCTAAGAAATAGTTTATTTAAGTCATAGCTGTAGTGCCATGACAGTTACATTGCCTTGCCTCATTTATCTTGGCTAGTCAACAGAATTGTACAGTAGACAGTAAAAGCTATTTGGGGGGGGAAAATTCCAAACATTTTTAACAGTCCAAGAAGTTTTACATTAGACACAATAAAGGAATTACAATTTATTTAAGTATCTCAATAGTTATAGATCTTGGAATTTTTGTCCTGATGTAGGTTCAGCCTCTAAGTGTCACCAATCATTGAAGTTTGAATAAAAAACAGCTTTATGATATCTGTATCTGTTCAGATATAAACCTAATAGCTGGAGCAACATAAAAGACCAAAGGAGATCTGCACATCAGCAAGCTCACATGAATATAAATAGCTTAATGCAAACAATAACTTTCTGATCCTTTTAGGATGCTAGAAATCCACAAGGGCTATGCAGAGAACTCACTTTTTGATAGCAGCATCCAGTTTCCTGGGGTCTGATTAATTTAAAGTTCTACAAACTGCAAGAGTACAGTTGTAGAAAGAAAGAAAACACCTACTTCCCATACTCTAGTCTTTGATTCAGTGAAACTCCAATGGTAATATAGGCTATAGTCTTTGTCAACAGCCAGAAAAAACACCATTGAGGTGTCCTGCCTTCCTACATGGAAGACATAATTCAACCAGCACGAGTATCATGTTTTTTCTGGTTTTTACACTGGCAAAATTGGTATAAACTAACTAGGCAAAACTATAATAAGTTGTACTCAAACACTCTTAAGAAAATAATAGGCCATCATTTACTCAGTGAGCCATCACCAAAGCAAAAGTAATGCATGAATTTCTAGAATACACAATATTTTGTAATTATGCTTAAACCAATGAGAGCAAAATTACTATAAATCATATTTTCATGATTTTCCTTTTAAGAAACAGACAGAGAGAAATTAGACCAGATCCCAACCCCGAGAGCACTGCAGCGCCTCTGCTTTAAGCAACACGAAATTCTCACTGGACTACAAAATAGAATCCAGGCTCCAGTACCAGTTAGCTGAAAACAGATGGCAGCGCACAGAGCCCGGGTCCCTGGAGAGCTCGCTAATCGAGTCACTCAGTAACTCAGAAAGCTTTCACTTAGCGAACAGACCAGTTCAGTTACCTCTGCAGCCCAGCTGGGCCAGCAGCAGGCAGGCTGTGGGATCATGACGGCTGATCCCGGCACGTCCCGTGGGACGCTTACAAGCGGCACAGAAACCCAGCCTCTCAGCGCTGCTTTTGGCGGACCGCGATTCCGGCCGCTGCCGTCCAGCAGCGATTGCTGCCGCGGGGGCACAGCGGGGCCACGGCGCCGCTGCTGTCCCCGTTACTAACCCCGTCCCCCGGGCCACTCCGCTCCTGCAGCAACGAGCCCGAGGGACGGGGCAACGGGTGACGTGTGGAGGCACCTCACACCCCTTCCACAGAGATACAGGACCCACACCCAGAGACAGATGTCTTCGTGCCCCAGTGCCATCCTCCTGCACAGAAACCCTGATGAATTCAATTGCCCGTGTAGGATACTCAGCCTGCTGCTCGTGTCTGTAGCTTGCAAGAGCTTTGCCTGGCCCTACTGAGGAGATCCCAGGTCAGTCTTGCTGGACATGTTTTCAAAAGCAGCCTTTAAATCTGTGCAGTGGCTCTTGCGAGCGCCTGGGCGAGCAGCCTGACCGTGGCTGGTGGCTGCGAGTGGGAGGGTGTAGAAAAGCCCCCGAGTAAACAAGTGTAGGGGTTGACCCTGGCTGTCTTGAAGGAAGAATATTGTATCTTCTTTTCTAGCTCTTCTTTTCGGCCGAGACACGTATATTGAACAGCTGTCTCAAGTGTTGTGAAGATGTTAGGAGGCGTAGAAAAGGAAAAACCCCGCTGCTGCTGTTTAACAAAGTTCAGCGCAGCTGTCGGACAAGCCGGCCGAGCCCGCCCCTTCCCCGCCGGAGCCAATGCGAGGCGCGCTTGCTGCGGGCGAGTAGCGCGGGGCGTTGTTGCGGGGCCGGGCCGGCGGGGCGGTGCGCGGGGAACGGCCCGCGCTCGGTGCTCCGCCCGGTGCGCGCCGCTCCGCCCGCCCGCCCGCCATGAACTCCCTGGACCAGGCTGAGGGTGAGTGCGGCCGCTCGGAGCGAGCCCGGAGCTGCTTCTTCGGCGCGCCGGGAGCTGCCGGCTCTGCGCCCGGGCTGCCCGAGCGCGCTGCCCCGTCCCTGCGGAGCGGCACGAAGCGGCCGCGGGAGGCCTCGGCTCCCTCTGCACCGCGCTCCCGGCGCTCCTCCGCGGCCCAGACAGGCGAGCTGGGGCGGGGTTCCGGGGCCTGCTCGGCGTCCCGCGCGCGGGGCGGGCTGCGCTGCTCGCGGGCCTGGGCTGAGGGCGGCTGCCCGCCCGGGGAGGAGGGGGTGCCCGCGGTTCCCTTTGGCTGCCGCTGCTCGGCTGGAGCTGATGGAAATCCTCCTGTGCTCGGGGAGCTCCTTGCCGCTCACGGCTTTTTGCGTGAGACGCGTTTCTTTCGGCTCCGGAGCCGCGCTGTGCGTTACGCTGAGCCGGGGCTCCTTTCGCATTTGAAGAACGCGACCTCAAGTAGCCCCTTCTTGTCTGGGGACACTCGATGGTTTGGGTTACGAGTTCCTGGAAGTTACAGCTTGCAGAATGTCAAAACCCCGAAAGGAGTTTTCAGTGTCCGAAAGACTGGCAGAGATTTTTAAAATGGACCAGTGTTTGGGAATTAGCAGGTGTTTTGTAGCTGGCACCAGAAGTAGGCAGTGTCGACAGAAGCCGACAGTCCGGCGTTGTCAGGGCTTTGTTGCTATGCTTGTGCAATCTGAGGGTTCCCAGAAGTGTGCCCTGCTAATCACAGCTGCCAAAAGCATCAACTCAGAGAAAGCTCTTAGAGCGTGCATAGTTGAAAATAAGTTAAAACTTCCGTTTTCTTTTTTCTGAAAAAGTATTTTTTCATATTTTGTTTCAGTGATGTCTACATTATGTGAGGGTTTTCTTGAAATCTTTGTTGTCAGTAGCCTTTTTTATGCTTTCAGGGTGCTGTTTCTCAAATAGCGGGTTTTAGTGTGCTGCCTTGTGTTCCCCCTTGCTTCAGTGAGTAGTTGGAGGGCTTTGTGCTAAGTCAGGGAACAGTTAATTAGCTGTAATTGCCGGCGGTGGTTTAACTTCCCCAGAAGGGATGTGGAGGACAGGCCATTAACTACCCTGTTCTTGGCAGTAATTAAGACTAGTTAGCTGTTCTGTGGCTGAAGTCAAGATACTGTAATCTTCCCCCATAAATTCACCTGCAAACCACTTAGGAAGAAATTCACAGTGTAGAAAGCTGCTTTTATAGTGATCATAATAGATTTATTTCTTCCAAGCTTATTCTTTAATTGCTTTATTGAGATAACTAATACAGCAATAGTTGGAGGTTAAAGTTCCACATTGATGCTGACAGAGACTTTAGCTGAAAGTTGAGTTGATCCTAATTAAAACTTCAGGTAGAATTCTAGCTTCAGCTGGAATGTTATCAAATTTAGACCTTGTTGAAAGGAAGTGTAAATCTAACCTGGACTTAAGTAAAACAGCTCCTTGGAGACAATTAGGAGTATCAACTTGAAATGGATTTAATAGTGATTTCGGTGGAAAGACCATGGGAGAATGATGGCAATAAGAAGAAAGATCTATTTTTAAAAATAACGATTGGAATAAGATCATTGGTGTAGTGTTTGCTGTGGGATTTTTTTGCATATATATATATATATATATATATCTCAATATATATATCATGATACCCAAATTTTCTACAAAACAAAGTCATCAAAGCCACACTGCTACAATAACCCTTTGAACAGTGGCAAATGGCCAACAATTTTTTTAAATTGCCATTATATTGATATTAGGGCATTATGGTTTTCTGATACAGTTAGTATTTCAAAATGTGATACTTTTTTTTTGTTTTGTTTTGAGATGCGTTTTAAGTTACTATAAATCAAAGTCACTATTTCTGAAGATGTCCCAAAATAGTGTGATTTCTTAACTGTATTGATTTTTCTTTTTGTAAGTGGGAATGTTTTTTGGCTTTTAGATTAACTCCACCACTTATTTCTTACCTGAAATAGAGTAAAGCTACTATGGCTGTACTTCTGCTGCATATAAAGGATAATTGCATTGGCTTTTCTATCAGTTTAAGAACTGGGTGTGCATGGGGGAATTCTTTTTATCTTCTACTTTGAAATATGACTAAACAGATGATCTAATTATGTTTGATGCACATCTTCCCCAGATCTCAAAGCTTTTGAAAGAAGACTTACTGAATACATTGCATGTTTGCAACCTGCTACAGGACGTTGGAGAAGTAAGTTTGATATTCCAAGGAATAAATAGTCTTTCATGCTTGTTAGATTTACCAGTGTGTATCCTTTATTTAAGTTTGCCCAAAGAGAAATTTGTATTTAGACTTGCTTTAAAATTTGTGGCATACATTCAAACACTCTGCAACAAGTTCATACAGGATAATAAACTAATATTTTAGCCAGAGTTAAAAAAATTAGGTTAAGTTTGAATTGGCTCAAGGCTGAATTATTCTGGAAATACCTGAAACAGTAAGTTGTGTTTGTTTCTGTTTTATCTGGTTTTTATTATGTTACTGAAGTTTTTTTCTTCAAGACTCAGACTTCCCAGACTGTTGCTGTAGTTACTTAAACTAAACATGGTTAGGTGAAATAGTCCCTCTAAAATTGAAGGTGAAAAAGTTACAGCAGTGTGCCATAAAGGCAGCTTTGTTATGACAGGAAGGTTTGAAGGAGGGGGGAAGGCAAAAAATTCCACAGATATGCTGCCAGCTTTGGGATCCCTGGTCTGTGGTGGATACATACAACTTTGTTTTGTTTTTGAGACTGCTGAAGTTTTTCTACTCAAAGAATACAGACTTTCTTTTAGAACACATAAAATAGTATGTTTTCTCCTGAGAGGTCAATTTTGAATGAAGGAACTGAAAGAGACACTACTTAGAAAGCAAAACCAAACACCACTACCACCACCTCAAACCCCCTTGTTCCAGGGAAATCAGATATTTATGTGTAGTTCTGCTTTAGGAATGCATTTGGCTTCCAAAATGGCTGTTTTCTGTCAGTTACAATTAAAAAAAAAATTCTGGAAACTTTTAAGCATATTTAAATGAGGTTTGTATAACTGGTATTGTATTCAGTGGCTCATGTTTTTTCCCCAAATTGCTTGTTTTGTAATTCACATAAGAGGGACTTTCTCTTTTCATTATAATGGGGTGTGTGACCAATGTTAGCTTTTCTTCCTGTTATCCTAAAAAGAAAGTATTTATATGATATAGAGAAGAAGCTCTATGCTTTTGATAATCTTTTGGAAAGATAACTCTGGTTCCTTTAAAGGATCAGGATGTTTTTACTTGACAGAATTTAGATTTTTCAGATGTACTTGTTCTGTCCAGGAAGTTTGTACAGAATCCTTAGGGTTTCACATTTAGATGTTTCTTTGCATATTTTCATTTTTGCTTTCCAATTAGGAGCTCTTTCTCCCTCAGAAGTGAGAAAGGAAATAAATGTTTAAGAGTTGCTGCTGAAAAATAAATACATTTAAATTTGAGTGAGGTATACTGTTTATGACTCTCATTCTTTTCTTCATCAGTGATTTTGATAGTGGTATCAGTCTGCACAGCAACTGGGGCTTGGAACTGGTTAATAGACCCAGAGACACAAAAGGTAAGGTCAGGCTAATGCCAAATGTGCTGTGTTCCATAGCTTGGTGCTGCAGTCAGGTGGTGTATTGGAAACTGAAAGGCTGAACACATTCTCACATGAAACTGGGAGGTGATTTTTAGTCAAGCTATCAAGCTGTCTGGAATTGTTGTGGAATGTGTCCTGGGACATTGCCTGCCAAAATACTGTACTCTGAATGCTTATCTAAAGAATTGTTCACAAGTACTTGGAAATGGCTAGGGAGCAGTATTTTATTTTTAGTTAAGGGATCTAGGCAGCAACTTTCTGTGTGTTTTAGGAAGTATGCAGTTGGAATAACCCAATTTCTTTCCTAGGTATCATTTTTCACGTCACTTTGGAATCACCCATTTTTCACAATTAGCTGTATTACCCTAATAGGCTTGTTCTTTGCTGGAATACATAAAAGAGTGGTGGCACCATCAATGTATCCTTTGATAATGTTTGTCACGTTAAAAGTGTAGTTCCTGCAGCCTGTTGGAGCCTGTGCTAATACTGCGTTTTTAGTTTTTGCTTACTGTGTGTGCAAGTGTTACTTGCTTTCCTTGACACAATCCACACAGTATAGCAGCCCGATGCCGAACTGTTTTGGCAGAATATAATATGTCCTGTGATGATGTAAGTGTTAGTGCTTCATTGCCTAAACCTTCTTTGTTAAAAGAAAAAAAGGAAATAATCCAAAAAGTCTGTTTTTCTGAACAGCACTTGTATATTCTTCAGCAAATTCTGTGTGTCTGTGAAACTGGAATGTGGAATACTTAGTATCATTTTGTGTGTTGTTTTAAACTCTTACTGTAACATTGAACTTGAAGTGTAATTGTTGGGTTCAGCATTCAGGGTTTAAACTTTGTTTTCTTTTCTGTCTTGCAGACTGGAAAATTAATTTTGAAACCTAGGCCTCATGTTCAATAAGGGCTGTCTTCCTTCATTTTTTTCCACTGCCATGGAAACCAAAAATGACCTTTTTTAAGGTAGTATGACAGCAAAAAAATTAAAATGGGACTGGTTGTCACTGCCTGGGAGTAAAAGTCTTAACACAGTTGACAGTGAAAGTGTGCAATATTACTTTCTTGAATATTTATCCAAATTCTTTGTTATCACATTATCAGTGCTTTTGCTACTTCTGATTACCTCTTTTTCAGTATTAGTGTCACTTTTTTACTTCAGCTAGAACAGAACATACAGGTGAAG